AAAACAACCCTGTGGACAAGCTGGCTGCATCTTCCGACCGTACTATGGAGATTAGCAGAATGTCCAACGCCGATTATTTTTAGTCAAGGAAAATCCTAAAACGACACGAAATGAAGCTACGGAACTTTGTCATATTTTGACATGTTACGTTCGTGTTTGTCATGACCGTTAACGATGACAAACCCCTCGAAGTTCTTCACGACAAAGATCTGTATCTAGATCACGAGAAGCAGATAACCCAGACTGGTGCTAGAATCATAATCAGTACAAAAAATCTCGGAATCGCAGAAAACTCTGAGACGTTTTGAACTCCAAACCGACCGACATGAAAAACGTCTCGAGAAACTTCCTAGCCGGAACGCGTCAGCGGTAACCGTAGCTAGAGAGCATGGCCGTCTGTTATACTCCACTGATGTGACTTCGAAAGTTCGCTACCTCATGGACGTCGACACAAACGTTGACGTTCTTCTGGTGAATTCTGACGGTTGACTGCTTGAACTTACAGGCGTTAAATGGGGAACCAACCGTCATATACAGTTGGCGATATGTTTACCTTTACGTTGGTTTACATAGACTCATCCACCGGATCTTTGATGTTGCAGATATTTCTACGCCATTCATTGATATATAATATACTCGCTACAACATCACAACTTACTTGTCGACACGCGCAAACGGAGGTAAGTAAACGGAATTACTAATTTATCTATTTTTGTAACTTCTTTTTCCGGTTTCACATTATCCCCAGTCATATTAAGGAAACGTGATCCATCCATACAACCAACAAATGCTCGTAGGAACCTTGTAATATACCAAACGCAGCCGAAATTACCACACGCAACCAGCAATGTTGAGCATGACATCACAAACTCAGGACCATCTGTATTTTTCAAAGCGCGAAAACCGGCTCCACAAAAGTTGAGTTTGACTAAAAGCAAACTCGATCACATGATAGTTTAGGAATTATTCGGCCGTCAAACTGCTAATGGGCATCTCCGTTGCATATGGTCCCTAAAGAGGATAGCGACGACTGGTGTCAAATTGGTGACTCTCGGAAATTGAATGCGGAAACCATTCCTGATCGTTACCCGTTGCTTCATATTCAGGAGTTGATAGATAACTTGAAAAGGAGAACTGTTTGTTCGGATATCGATTTGGTTAAAGCATAGGACCAAGTTCTTTTGGCTGCTGACAACCTACTTGAAACCGCTATCATAACTCCCTTCGAACTCTACGAATTTCGCGAATTCCTTTCGGTCTTAGAAAGGCTGCCGAAACTTTCCAAAGGTCCATGGACGACATTTTTCGAGGTCTCAAATTCACACACGCGTACGTTGATGACTGATTGATTGCAAGTCCAGATAGAGAATCTCGTCTCCAACATATGGACCTTGTCTTAGAATAACTAAAAAGCACGGCATTACTGTAAACATTCAGAAATGACAAACCGGAACTGACCGCTTAGATTTCCTAAGACACACTATTGATGATGAAGGCACCCGCCCTGTGAATAGCGAATTTGCAGCCATTCTGAGCTACCCGGAACCGACCACAGTCAAACAATTATGTACGTTTAACGGCCTTGTGAGCTTTTATAGATAGTTCACACTAAAATGCGCATCCCTTATAAGGCCTATAATAAAAAAACTTCGAGGAAATGAGAATTTGGACGATACCGCGAGAAAAGCATTCTCCACAATTGAGGAACTTATCGCAAAATCAACCTTGCTTGCACACCAGGACCCTTAAGCACCCATTAATATCACAGTAAACGCATACGACACAGCAATCAAGGGAGTTTGATAACAATGGGTTAACCACTCCTGGCAACCTTTGACATTCTTTTCGAGACGGTTGCTAGACACCGAATCGAAGTATGGCACTTTTGGTAGGGAACTCCTAGTTATGTATTTTGCTGTACGAAATTTTCAACACTCTATAAGAAGCCGAGAACTCATTCTTTGCACTGATCATATACCTCTTACGTTCTCTTCAAGCTCGTCTTCAGACAAGTACTACCTTCGAGAATCTCGACAACTTGGCTGCACTTCACAGTTTACTTTTTATATACAACACATTTTTGGAGCAGGCTATGTGGTTGCAGACGCCTTGTTTCGTGTAATTTCCTTGAACACTTTCCAAGGAATTGATTTCCTTGAGCTCACTCGACTTCAACAAGAAGACATCAATCTTCAGCATGGGTTATCCTCACGAACCCTCAATGTACGTATTAAACAGACGGCGATAGTCAAGGAAACCTTATTACGCAACACATCTGCAGGTAGGGCTCATCCAATCGTGACGAAACATTATCGATGCAACGTCATCAACACGACGCAGAAGCGTTCGCATCGAGATGATCGTACAACCATCAAGCTCATATTAGAACCGTTTTACTGGCATGTTATGAATAAAAAAATTAAGGAGTGATGTGTAAGCTGCCAGAAATTTAAAGTGATTAGACTTCAAAAATATCCCTCAGGTTCTTTCAAAACTCTCAATGGTCTTTTCGAGCATATTATTCTGGATTTAGTAGAACCTTTACCAGATTCGAACGGATACTCCCATCTCTTAACCTGTGTAGACCGTTTCACACAGTGTCCAGAAGCAGTGCACCTCAAGGACATCATTACTGAAACAGTGAGCCGCATTTCGTCAAGCGTTGGATATCAAAGTATGACTACTCTCTAAAAACCACTACAGACCATGGACACCAGTTTGAGTTAGGACTTTTCCGCTGTCTGACTACACTATTAAGAATCACGCGATTCCGAACAACTGTCTACCACCCACAAGCAAATGGGTTAGTAGATTGCTTTCACCGACAGCTTAAGGCTTCCCTAACAGCTGCAAACGTTTCGCATTGGAATGACGCTCTTTCACTCATTTTACTCGGTATAGGCAATCCAGTGTTAGTGGATCCTTGGTGCTATTCACTGAATGTGGAATTAAACTCTCAAAGTAGTAAGCTTACAAACACAATGCGTTCAGTTAAACTCGTTTCCTCTTGACCGCAATCAACTGATATTTCTCTTCAATATGTACACATCTTTTTACGGCACGACTCACTTTAACGACCTCTCGAAACAGCATACGAAGGACCCTTCAAAGCTACTTAGTGTGAACCTAAGTACTATATAATCAATAAGAAGAGAACTAACGATAGCATCAGCATCAATCGCAATAAAGCCGTGTATTTAGAAGGAAACCCTATTCACATCGATTTTTCTTTGGTTCAATCGAAAGGTACGATCCCTATATTTATGATACATTAACCGACAGCCAAGGGTCACGATGGTACGTCAACTATACTTAAAAACAGACTCAAAACAACGTGTCCCGGATAAAGAGTGAGGTTTCCAGAACACCTAAACGAATACTGCACGTAAGAAAAAAATAATATTTTGTCTCACATCGGTTTTTCTCTGCATTGTTAAAAAACAAAAACAAACAATATGATTTTAATGTGATTATATATATATATATATTTATTCCAAAAAATCATTTTTTTGTTCTTTAATATACTCGATTATACATGTTTATTTGTATTTTTCAAAAAAAACAAAAAAAATTCTGCATAATTCGTTTATACGCTACTGCATGTTTAAAAAACGCACATGAACGAGCGTAGTTTCATTTATTTGCCCATTTTGTGTATGTGCGCACGTGCGAGCGTCATTCAATGTACACACACATACTCTTTCTTTTTTCCAAAACGGCTGGAAAAGACGGAGAAAACGACGAAGTTTATGATGAACCTAAATTTTCACTGGATCCGTTTCCCCATTACTATATTGTAACACATGACCTTTTATAGTAAAGAAAGATAACCAGATGTTGCTTAGCATAGCAAACTATCAGAAGAGTGTTCACCAACGACAAACTCGTTGAGTTTTAACTTCTGGATGGTTGCGACTACTCCACTTAGGGGTGATCTATAGCAGTAAATAAATCCCAAAAATAAATAGCCCTGTTAGTCTTCGACATTTGATTCTGACCACATTAGTTTTAATGGACTCATCTAGCTGAAGGTGCTCAGTCACGCATCCACACCAGATCACGAGTGGAAACTCCCTGCTCAACTTCACGGGCAACCGCTAACCAGTCTAGATCAATCCCTTCTCGATATATTGATAGCCGATAGAATATATTTTCTAACCTGGTCGCTTCTAACTTTTGACTTCACTAGGTGAGCAAGATTAAATTATAGAAGCTGTTACTGGTTGAAGTGTCGTCAAACTACAAATACCTGTGGCATTTTCATACTATGAATGAAGGTGCTTGGTCATGCATCCGCACCATGTCACGATTAAGTATGCCGTGATACACTCACCTTTCAAGTACTAACCAGAATAGATAAAACACACCCTATCATATCGGAAAACTTCCAAGTATATCCTCAATCACATTCGTTTATCACTTCTGACTTCATTGGTATGATATACCTCAAATACGATCGTGTTACAGATAAAGAGTTGTCGAACCCTGAAGTTACTTATAATCTTTAAGTAGACCCATTAGTCAGGCCAAATATTTCAGGTATAAATACTGAATAAAATAGGTTCTCAAAATTTTTAGTGCGAAAACACTCGATACTAGATGCTTTAGTTGTAAAAACAAGAATACAAATCAGGAAGTACCTGATAATAGTTCATTAAAGTAGTTCTTTTTACGTACATATAACGATGAAAAACGACTGAGCTAACTACACGGCAGAGCGTAATCATCTCAGGCGATTTGCTTTAGAGTGTTACTTGGACGATTGATTGATCCTCTTCAGTTGATAGATTCAATCACAATGTTGAAGTTTAGGTTTAAACTTGATGAATTACGATCCTAATTACTTTGGAAACCTATATCACATCCATACAACTAAAATCAATTTCCCGAAGTTAATCAGAATTGAAAATAATCTGTCTTTTCAAATCGCAGCAATGCATGCATTAAATTTACAAGACAATGTCATGTGATTATGTTTAAGTACATCAGTTAGTTGGTCTTTTTGAGTAGCTGTTTTTAAATCTTGTCCAACTTCATGCGATATTTCTATGCTTTCTAAGTTATTAAACCGCGTTTCTACGAAGTTGTTACTGAAAAACACTTGGTACTACATGCCAACTAGTACCAATGGCGCTCCAGAATTTGCACGACCTTTACAATAACAAGCGTCATCCAAATCGAAATGGTGGCGATTCTGGAAGAAATTCAACTACTCTTATGTGTTACGTTACGCTTGCAAGTAGTCAGGTTTATCAGGTTGAAGTCGATCACAAAGCAGAATGTCAGGAAGTCATAGATAAGGTATGTTATGGCGTTTCCTACAATTTATTTCTAAGATATGTAAATTGATAGGGATTACGGAAGAAGCTAGTTATTTTGGTATTCTATTAGCAGGATCTAAAAACGAATTGTTTTGGCTTAACAGCAGAAACAGGTTATCAAGGCAAATTCCAGGGCCTCCTCCATACCATCTATATTTTAGAGTAAAGTATTTTGTTCAACCATCTACACTTCAACTCGAGGAAACCAGGTAATGTCAAATAAGAGACTAAAACCGTACTTTTACAGACATCAGTTTTACACAAACGTCGTATATCATCTAAAAAATGGATCTTGGGACGCTGACACGACCCTGGAAACACAGTCACAGTTAATTGCCCTCATGGCATACATACAGTTTGGAAATTACAACCCAAATACCACTCCATGCAAGTATGCTTGCTTTTGGCCCGAATGTCGCAACGAAATTCCACCAGAAGCTATTCGTATGGCTGCTAGTTTTCATAAAGACTTAAAAGATATTACCACTTCTCACGCAAAATATGAACTTCTGTCTATAGTTTCACGAGAATTTCCCTCATATGGAACATATTTTTATGATGTGAAGAATATATTTGATCGCAAGTTATTGCTTGGTGTTGGTCCTAGTGATATTGTTTTGTGCAACTCTACTGGAGGCGTTACCGATCGGTAAACATCCTCTTTATAATGTGTATTTATTGTTTATCCGTACTTAAAGTAATAACACTAATGCAAAGATGAAATTCAGTACAATTTCTAAAACTGTCATATGTGTGTTCTCGCTAATGGCGTTTTTTGGAACTCTTTAAGGCTAAGCACAACCATTCGGATACTTAATATGTTATTTTGGAATTTTATTTAAAATCGCATAACCTTTCACTTAGAATTCTGCCAAGTACTTACTTTCTCTAGGATTTACAATTGAATAACCACTACCGTTATTTCCTATTTATTTTTGGTCATCAGTCCATAAGCATTACATTATGTTATAAGAATTTCATTAATGTTTGTTCGTTATATCGTTTACGTATGCGTGCAATAATAAAAACACGTTATTATCTAAGTTTTCATGTGTAAAGAAGTGTGGCTCGTGTTCAAATAAACATGGAAGCAAAGCTACTTTACTCAATCACTGGAAGTCTAAACCGAGCGAACCTCCCTTGACAAAATGTCTGTGTATTTGGAATTTAATTTCGACATCATTTGCCATTCATTACTTTGACTTTATAGCAAGTAGGTTTAAAATAGTTGTAAACAAACTAAAACGCTTTAGTTAACTGATTTCTGCCTTTAAATGAAACGAACTACCAGGTCTCTTAGGTTTTTTTCTGTGCGAAAATCTGTGCTTAAAATAAATATTATGAGACGGTGTTGAACAAAATATAATTCTGCTTCTCTGTCTTTTGATGAATACATTTTGTTTCCTCAGTTAGAATGACAATCCTACTTTTCATCCTTCGAAATTACGTATTCCATCATTTCATTTTTTGCCTAATCTGACATAGCATTTTAATTAAAATAAGTGAATTGAACAATTGTAAGCAATTTAATGCCAGATTTTTGCAATTGTTTGGAAATTAACTACTATTTCTTTTATTAATGAAGTTAGTGAACCCGTTAAAATTTCATTTCATCTTAGTAAACAATACTGAGAACTGGAGTAAGAAATAACGTGATTTTGTTTGTTGACACCTTACTAACTGGATCTAAACTTTTCCTTGTAGTTTGGGTTTAGATAAAAGCTCAGTTAATATCTGTTAACCAATACAATTAATAAGTCCGTTGACACATCTAATTTCCTTTCAGTATATCTAACATAGAATATTTTGTGTTGATTTCTGACTGTCAAACTGAATTGTTACTATCGAATAGAATGCTTAGATCTCAGTTACCCATCAACAGCTCCTCAGATATTTTATGTTCATAAAGTATATATAGTGATTCATCAAATTTCGGGCTAAATACAAGGTCTTAGCTGGAGAGGATATTTTAGTTAAGTTATTAACTTGTACTACCTGAGATTTCCAAATTTTAATATATTCGTAGCCTCAGTCTATCCCATCGTTGTTTGTCATGGAATTAAATTAGTGGAAATTTGGGAGTAGCCAAAGTAAAACAAAATCGTCTCTTGAAGTTTCTAAGGGTTTGTTTAATTATCGAACAAACCTGTCGAATACAACACTTCTGACTTTTGTTTGATGCTATTATAATTATTGGAATAAATGTACCCTCCATCTTTAATAGTTTTGTATTTTTCCTCACGCTTCTAGTCTTCTTAGTATCCTTCCACGTATTCTAAGTTTATAAAATTTCGTTTAAGCGTATTTTAAAGCCCTATTTCTTGTATTATAAGAAAAAACCTTGATAATTGTGTTTTCACGAATTTCGTCACATTGCTTACGTTATTGAGTTTTTATTCTTAAAATACCGGATATGTAATTCATATAGTTATAAAACTTAATCAATACTGATGGTGGCTGTTAGACTTTAAAAACTTAAGGTACTCTAGTTAACTGTACTAAACTCGGTGTCATATTCTGCCTAATGTGTTAGTAATTCGAAAAAAGTATCATACGTCTAAGTTACGTAACGCTTTCGTTAACTCTTTAATACTGCGGGCTTTGTGGAGAATCAAAACTGGGTAAACAGAGCCGGGTAATTCGAATATATAAAACGATATGGGCCTAAACCAGTTGAAGTCAATGTGCTTTACAATGATCTTGATATTAAAAAATAACAACACTTATTTTATGCACATTGGTCACTTGTGTTACTTTATTTTATATTTTATGCGTTTTTCAATTATTATTGCTATTGTGTTCTTGTCGCGTCATTAAGTTTCCACATATTTGGCGGATTCCATATTGACTCAGGAATATCATGAAAGGCGCCTGTTTTTCGTAATATGTATTAAGTACTTTTGGTTATGATCAAATCAAATTCTTAACAATAACATTTTTATCGAGCCTACCTTTGAATATTTTCAAGTTTATAGTAATATGCCATTTTAAAGAACTGTATGACTACCAAACTACTAATATTTTTCCGACTCCAACTGTTACATTACTTTTAACTTACTTGGTTTTAATAAATTTTGTAGTAAAATAGTTCCGTTTTACTATTTTGTAAAAATAAAGTGAAATATCACTATGAATTATTGAATCAATTATTTGTCAGACCATATAGTTTACCTAGCTCTGTTCAGAAAAAAAGTTGGTTTGAATTTTACTAATCACTTTCATTTATTTACATGTATAATCCCTATGTTAAAAGCAATTGTTTGAGTCCATTCTGACCTTAAACAGTTTGCACTTACAGATGTAATTGCGTACTACCATTGTTACTTATATTACTAATATTACGGTCATATATAAACTAGACTAAATGTTTCGGTGTTAATATTTGTTCAGTTATTTCAGCCTTTAGTGTTTAGATATTTGCATGTTTAGTGAATAATTTGATTTTACGTTATGTTCGTTAAAATTCTAGACCATAAACTAAATCATTTAACGAATAGCGGTGGCATAATCACTGGTATCAAACTCAAGCATAAAAATACGTTTATACCGTCACTTTTTGATCCATTCAGCTTAAGTAGAAAATACAAATGCAAGCGTTATGTGAAAAGCATGATTTTATTTTGTGTGGCGCTTTAGTCGATAGTTTAGGATAGATCTCTTAATAGGTTCTAATTATTTGGACACCTTTCTCATCTGTATTTCGTTCAGTTTGCTAAGGCTGTGTGTGGTTGAGTTTCGTTTCTTCCAAATAGGTAAATATTTATCTTTTTTTATGTCCATAACTTTGTGTATTGTTATGGAAACCTTTTTTTAAGATGGGTTCCAAATCCTATGGGTTCTTTAGATTTTGTGAATAATTTACAAATTTAGAATTTAGTATTTTTCAAGATTAGTTGATCTGTGATCAACATATGTAATACTGGAGATGAATATTTACTAAAATTCATCCTATTGGGGCTACAAGGATGAAATCATCCATTAGGATCCATCTTGGACTAAAGAGATATACTACTGGTCCAAATAAGTAGTTCATAAACAACATTACATTTTAAGCTTTTGGTCGGAATAAATTGAATCACAAACAATTGTTTGATACAATCACTCCAATCCGTCATTAAAGGTCCTAGTTAGTTTGAGTAGCACAAGACAAAAAACCATTCAGCGTTTTATTTTTGTAGCCTAAACAACAACGATCGGGGTATAAGTCTGCGCCCGATAGCATCTAAATTATTGGCTTCCATCAAACTTCGCACATTGTTCAAAACCCGGGAAAGATTGGTTTTCGTTCTGGTTGAGGATGTACTAGTCTTCGCTCTTTGATAAATCTTAGAACACCGCCGTATTTATCGTAGGCTGACAATCGTGTTTCTTGATATCAAGGTGACCCTCACTTCCTTGGACAGGACTGTCCTCTTATATTGTCTATTGAAGAAGGGTGTGCTCAAGAAGGTTGTTAACATTTGGAGGGCCCTAAATACAAATACCTTAGTCAGAGTGAGCGCATAAAACCGTCTTTCTCCATTTTTTTATTCAAGCAATGGGGTTAAGCAGGTTGCCCAGTCTCATCATTCCTGTTCAAGTTAACCATTAGATGACGTTTTGAAAACAACTCTGACAAAAATCGACAGTGGTAGTATAGATGTGCTACCTGGAGAAAGACTTTTCGACCTTGAGTATGCGGATGTTATTTCCTTACTGTGCGATGATACTCAAGTCATGAAATCTGCACTTATTCACTCTGCAATCTGTGTCCGTAGGTATCGCATATACTCTGTACCCTCTAACTGCAAAGTACTTTTATAAACATTTCAGTAGCCTGTGTCTGCATTAACTCTTGGTAGTGAGGAGATAGAAGCAGTCGAGAAGTCCATGTATCTAGGTATCAATGTAAGTTCTAGCAGTGGTGTGAGTGATGAGACTAATTCACGTATAGTGAAGGCCTAAGAGGCTCATACCAATCTGTTCCAACCTTGTCATCTTCGTGGTATTAGTCTGACTGTAAAAGGCCGGATTTAAAGAGCGTCGGGGAAGACAGTTCTTCTCTATGCTTAGGAATTCTAGCCTGTCCATGTTTGATCATTATTGACTCCTAAGGATTGCTGACATCCAGTGGCAACACCATATGAGTAATGCAGAGGTTTGACAATGTGTATTAGGGCATAGTGTCGACAATTTAAGTGGTATCACTATGGTGAAACACCGACTTCAAAGGCTTGGATATGTCCTACGAATGTCGTCCTAGCAAGTTCCACAACGTAGATTGTTTTCCGGCTTCTGGGACTAGTCGGAAAAAGCGGAGAGGTGGTCAGTTTATAACATGGTACTGTGCTATGAATGAAAACTGCACAGGACTGTCATATGTTGGTCCTTCACGACTCCTTGGTTGGGGGTTCAAGAGACAGTGCAACACAGTGGCTTGAGACGTTATCAGACATGGCTCAGAATAGAAGCCAGTGGCGGTCCTGCTGTAATTCCCTTTTACTTTATTTATGTAAGTGAGAGGAAGTCCTTCAATCAAATCAATTTTTGAGATGATGGAGAAGATGTAGTTTTCTCATCTAAGTTGGATGGTTTGGTTTTGCAGCTTTCATCGTTCTCCTGAACAACATGATCAGCATAAACTTGTATTTTGTGCCGATGATGTCGTTAAGAAGAACGATGAAAGCTCCACGACCAAACCATCCAGCTCAAAGAACAAAGCCCTACCCAAATTAAATCACTTCTTTCTACATTGCATTTTTCTCAACTGAACTGCTCTTCCCAGTATTATTGTTATTATTTTCACCCTCATTCACCAATTACTATTCATTTTGATTGCATTTTTCTTGTTACACTCACCTTCCTTTGCCTATATCTTCACAATCTCACTTTTATTATGTGGCTTTTATTTAGTTGTTTATTTATTTATTTATTTGAACACATAAATATTGGTACAAGAGGGCACCAAATATATATGCGCCACACAAAACAATGAGAATTCGAAGAGAAAAAAAGAAGGTAAGGAGCGTAAGAAAAAAGAACTATGACGAACAGATTAGTGTAAGGTGGTGTAGTAATAATAATAATAATGGGGGAAACGGAAAGGTACTATCAGAAGAATTTTTTCAGTTAAGGAAGATACAACCACTTTTTATGGAGGGAGTAAAAGAAGGTTACAGTAGGATCGCCACTGGCTTCTATTCCGGGCCACTGTCTTGCACTATCTCTCAAACCCCAACCAGAGAGTCGTAAAGGACCAACACAAGCCAGCCCTTTGCAGCTTTCTTTCATACCCCGTCTCCATATCATACACTGACCACCTCTCCGCTTTTTCCAACCAGTCCCAGAGTCGGCAACTAATGCACGACGTCGAATTCTCTGGGACGACATTCATAGGACATGTCCAAGCCACCAAAGACGACTTTTCAAGATGGTGGCACCAATTGGATTATCGTCTCTGAGCCCGAACACATGATCCCAAACCTTCATGTTACTAACATGGTGTCGCCACTGGATGTCAGCAGTCCTTCGGAGACAGCGATGATCGAACATAGAGAGTCGTCTAACATCAACTTGGAGAGGCCAGGTTTCACAAGTATAGAGCAAGACTGCTGTCACCGACGCGTTGTAGATCCGACCTTTTACAGCCAGACTAACATCACAAAGGTGCCAAAGGTGGCCCAGATTGGCATAAGCCGCTCTGGTTTTCACTATACGTGCATCGATCTCATCACTCACGCCACCACCAGCTCTTATGCAGTTACCTAGATACACGAACTTCTCGACTACTTCTATCTGCTCACCATTTAGGGTGAGTACAGGATTAGAATCCTGCCAGTCTTGTGGGAGTACTTTGGACTTCGAAGGTGTAAAGCACATGCCATAACTGTGGACATTGATTGTCAACTGATTAAGTGTGGATTGCATGGCTTGGGCATTATCGCACAGTAAGACAATATCATCCGCATACTTAAGGTGACCAATGATTGGTTCATAAGCCATTTGTTCCCGCAGGATACTGGAGCCCATGTGCACCATTGCTTCGGGATCCGGTTAAAGCGCCGGACATTCGCTTTTCGTCCTCATTTTCGTCAACAACCCCGCCACGAGAATGCAATGAGTAGGACTTCCCTGGCAGAGACTGTATACGCGTGGCCGTGTGAGAGCGTTTCGAGAGGGAGAGCGAGCTCACCCCATTCTCGGCCATACCAGGGAATTCGGGGGCCTTATATATTTTTTGATGCCTCTGTACCAATATGTGTGTGTCTAAACTTATGAATAATTAAGTAACCGTAACTTATACGAAAGTTGTTATATCAAGGTGTTATACCTACCATCAGATATGCTATTCTGTTGCACGTACTATCGATTCATACTGTCATGAATTGTTTATTCGCACTATAATATACTTGTGCTTTTTCTCCTTTTAAAAAAATACAGTTTTCCGTTTTGTCGAGTACACACAATCACAAACAGCGCACGAGTTGTTACTTTAAATTTGCTTGAAGAAGATGGCAGTGTTAAAGGACAAAACTATCAATTATCATCAACTCGTCTAGCTTATTCCCTTTATCGTACAATTACTGAAGTTCATGCTTTTTTTCAAAGTGATTCAATTAAACAATCATTAATTGAACAAACTGTGCGAGAATCATTTACTTCAATGTTTGATCATAATGGTTAGTTGTATTTACATTTTTATTACATAAGGAAAACAGTGTTTGAAATATCAAAAACGTTTTCTAACCATTTTCTAGATTCTGAGAAACTTTTAAATCCTTAACTTTTGGATTTATTTCCTCGACTTGCACATGTGATGTTCAGAATTAAATTTCGTGTCTTTTAATTCTTAACTTATCGATTACCCCTCTTGTTGTGGTGACATGAAACGTGTTAACTTGAACCAGTAGACGTTTGTACTTAGTCTCGCATCTATATCGATCGGTTGAAATAGAATGAAGTCAGCTTAGTGACATGACGTTAATAGTTCATTTTTTTGTATGGAATAAATTTATTTTAAATCCTTTGTGAATTAATTTCCTTTTTTACATATCTAACTAGACAAATATGACTGGAATTTCAGCTCACGCTGATTAGAGGTTACTGGTCAATGTAAGAATGATTCTCATCATGATTGGTTAGCAGTTGAACATTCACTAATAATAATAAGTGAATAGCTTTTCTTAAAAATTATCTTAATGATATCATGAATACGAGTCAAGACTTTATGATCATATGCAGTACATTCTCAAACCATTAATTATGACTTTATTAATATATGTTATTGCAATAAATTCATTAAAAATATTTGTTATATTCAATTCTATGGTATATACTACTATCATAAATCTCTGACTAGAATGATAATCAGATTTCTTTAGTTATCAAAGAGTATTGAGAATTTATAAAATTTTAATTGGTTATAAAGCACCAACCGGTCTAAAAGTGGTTGTATAACTGTTATATGTTTATTGGAGTACAATCAGAGAGCCTCTTATGTGATTGTAACTACGCATTACTTAGTAGTTTCTGCATACATCGAGAACCTTTTCGCTACTCGTCAATTGATATTGAGTATAAGTTAACTGATGATATAGTTGAATGATGTTAAAAGCTTAAATCCTCATTTTTGTCATGAACTATTCTCAGTATACTTGTGACTCTATCAAACTTAAGAACTTTGTATCTCTCTAGCCTAATAGGTTTTGATTTATGTTGACACATCTCTAAAAGTTTTACTCGACTGACAGAATACCGATGACTGATCAATACCTCTTGATATTGAATTTACAAACTTTTGTATCTCATAATTGAATAGGTAAGGAATATGCGTTCGATCTTCGATATACATTTTTGGAAGTGTATGATCGTGCCAGACGACATATGTATCATTGCACAAGTAACACTACTAATCCTATACCTACATGTGGATCACATGGTCTAACACAACGTACAAGAAGTTTAAGTGGCTCTGTGAATTCTGTTATACATGGTGAAAACATTTCAACAAGTAGCTTAGAAGCTATCCACAAGATTGAAGATTCTCGAGGAAAGCAAGACTCATCAAGCCTGGCTGAATCAGTCGTTAGTGTTGAGGTGAGTTTATTTTTGAAGTTGAATTGTCTACGTTTAACTCTTTAGATTAAGTGCTTTCTTTTGAACTAATGATCGCCTCTTCTAAGCGGTTCAATTAGTTCCAAATAATGAGAAACTACTCAATATTTCAAATTAGGTAAATTATTACTTAAATAAATGAAAGAGAATCGTATTTCATATAAAAGCATGTATAATGCATTGCATTCATGTTTATCTATGTTAGTCTTTCTGTGTATAGCTTGTATAAATTATACAAGCAACAAGGTGAATTTAATTAAGTAAATCAGAAGGATGCTTTTGTTTTACAATCTATGGATAAAACTACCCCTTTATTTTGTATCAATTCAAAGGACACATTGAAGTGTTTTTAATAGAAGTACTTGCTAGCATCATATTTGAATGTCATGTTGCTTCAAAGAATCAATACTATATTTTTGCAACTGCCATCTATTTATTCATTATTGTGTACTTTTTTAAAGACTAGTCCTGTTAGTGAATCCAGATTATCTAGTTGAAATTCAATTGATAACAGTAATCAGTGATTGGAGACTTTAACTGACATGCTTCAGAATTGTTCACAATAAACCACATGCATTCATTCCTCATTTTTTTCTCTATCTTGAATTGCAGTATCCCTCCCACTCTATCTTTTCAAATCATATTCCTGATATTTAGTCTTTTTTAAATCATCACTAACACATTATTTCACCACATTTGTTGTTCACATCTGGTCACGTTATTAGATATGGAAACTTGACGCAATGTATATCTGTTCTAGTCTTTATATTGACGATGTCCGTCTCATAGAATCATTCTACCAGTTTTTAGTCAACATGTATCATTTGCTGTATATATATATATATATATATATATATATATATATATATATATATATATATATATATATATATGGCTGATCAAAATTGAGCCTGTAATGTTTAATAATTTCACCTAGTAATTCATTCACCTCACTCAACTTTTAACATTCATAAATGTTGTTTTCACTTGTTGTTTAAAAAAACTTAATTTTATATTATTTACTATTAAATTAATTCATAATAGAGAGTGAACTCAACAAATGAAATCATAATCATACAACCTCGTGATAAACAATTGTTAATAACTAATTTTCATTTAATGACTCAATAATAAGTATGATGTACAATTCGAATTATCAGTTTTTAAATACATTGAATTTTTATTTATTTATTTATTAGTATCATTAATATCACATTTTAAATTTGTAATTATTCATAGGAATTAAAATCACTTAATAATAATCCATATGTATTGTGATAACTGTGATAATTTTATTCCTATATTATGAAACTTTGTACAACTCTAAGATGGGTTTTGTTTTCAAAAGTGAACATATCTTGGTGTTACACTGGAAAGATGATGTTGGTTTATTTTGCAAAACAATAAAATCTCCATTTGTTATAATCTCTTCTTACGGTTATGACCCAGCTATTCCTATTGCTTAGTAATCTCGGACACCGATTCACTCGACAAGTCCCCAAATCAGAACATGGTTGAACAGAAAAGAGATTATATTCCAAATAACAAGGTTAGATGGAAGTAAGATGCCAGTAAGAAGCACAATAGGGAAAAACGTCAGTATATTTATAGTTTTTTACATGAGAAGATTCTAGAGTATTCTCCAATTATCGACTAGTGCTGATTGGGTAAGAATTAGCCAATCAGCGTGCACCAAAGCAATCGCACATTGAGCTTGCTTTAATCCAGTCTATGTTCCACTAACACCATTATTGAATCATACTTTTGAATTATACTCTATCCACTTGAATTAAGTTACTTAGCTCTCACGTAGCTGAGTTTCACAATAAATTTAGAATTTCAATATGAATATAAACATGGCTTTGTATTGAGTTCTATAAAATTTAATTATTTTAACTTAAAGCATTACAGCTTTCTAACTTCGTTTCTACTCCTTTTTTTTCAGCCTTTGACTATATCACATGTTTACTGAAAACATTGTTATTAAATGTCAGTATTCTGTAGTTTTCGTTTGTTTTTGTTTCTTTAAATTCACAATGTTTTTTTTTCTCTATCTTTAATTTTACTCAATTAAATGGTTATTATCGAATGAACCTTCAATTTATGTACTATGAGTGATTTGATTTTAAAGCATGAAAGTTGATTTTTCTAAACTAAATATTTAGCTTATTATTATCAGAATGGGTTTTGTGGAGATTTTAGAAATTTCACAGATAGAAATCATGAGTCAGTTGAAGCTAGACCACCATTGAAAACCTGGAAGCACTGGACGGCCGTGGATGCGCACTGCTGAAAAGTCTCACACTAGGACGAAATGGCCGTGCAGTGCTTCCAGGTTTTCAATGGTGGTCTAGCTTCAACTGACTCATGATTTCTATCTGTGAAATTTAGCTTATTATTTAAATTTACTTAAAATGATTCGTAGTTTTTCTTAATTTGTTTGTAATGATTTTTATTAAAAGGAAGTTAGTCTAATGGTTGTTAAACATATACTAAAGATCTATAAATTAATTTTTTGTCCAATATCCCTTGCTGCCGAATAAATCTTATCTATATTTTAACTATTTATTCTTAGAAAGGAGTTTTGTGGATGCGCACTGTTGAGGAGTTCCATACTAGGATGAGACAGCCCTTCAAGTGCTTTCACGTTTTTCATGGTGGTCTAGTTTTAACTGACTCATGAATTCAACTATTTATTAGTTTTTTTAAATTACTTTTTTTTTTAAAACATGAACTATATTCACAAATGATCATCTTAGACAATCGTCATTTAATAATCATAGAATAATGAAAGATTATTTTATCTTTGCTTGACTTTTGATTATTTATCCTATGTGCATGGTTCTTTCTCATATATAATTTACCGTCCAGTTAGATATTTCAGTAGTAAATAGTCAATTTACTTCAAGAAAATCTCTTTGTTACCTTGTAGCCTACCTTTGATCAGCTCTGATTAAGTGTTCTTTCATTTCTTACTCAATATTAATTAAAAGATTACATCACTATGTATATTTTTACTGGATAGTTGCTAACATGAATAACCAGTTAAATATTGTTTATCTAATAGGATTCAAAGAAAATTTTAGAAATTTCTTTCTTTCCCTGATATCATCAAACTAAAATTATTTTTAGCTTTATCTATTGTATTTCCCTTAATTTCTATCCTCTTATAAACTTTGTTTGGGATATCCATTTTCTAATTCAATAGTTTAAACTAAATAGTCTAGTAATTAGTCTATTTTTCTTCCCAAATAACTATGGTTATTTATAATCACGCGTCTAATGCATGATATTTTAAAAGCAATAACCTTGACAATTTCCTGATTTTGTATTTTCATTGATTTTCCTTTTTATAAAACAAAATGTATTGATCGGGTAGTTAGTTTCTTTGTAAATCGTGTTTTTCGTTTAGTATTTATTTAATGAAGAAAAAAAATTTCTTAATATTATCCATTATTATAAAAAGAATATACTGGTTACATAATTAAATATTAAACATATTTCCATGCCTTAAATTTATCTATTCATTTAGTAATATAATTCAAAGCTAAACTTCTGTTATTTAATATACTTACAATTGATTGATCACTGGGTGGTGATCAATGTCTTGCTTGTCTAGTCCTTATTAGTGCAGATCGAGTGCTATCGATCATTTTGCAATGTGGCCACCAGTCTAGGTGACTCGACACTGCGGGCACTATGTATTGAGATGGTGGTTGGAGGTAGTCAACAGGAAACCCTGAACCCGGGTTTCGTGCTACTTGGCACTCGTCAGCAAGGTGTACCTGTAATCTTGAGGGAATTGGTGCTCCCTGGCGGATTCGATCTCGTGTCACCCAGCTTCACAGTCAGAGACGTTACCACTGAGCTATCCGAGCCGTGACTAACCTCCTGTAGGACTGAGATGTCGAGTGCCAAGTAGCACGAAACCCGGGTCCAGGGTTTCCTGTTGACTACCTCCAACCACCATCTAAATTTAATGTACTTCTTCTGTTAACCAATAAAAATTGATTAGCCTTGTCGTTCTTTACAAGTATGGAATGTTATTATTATTTTTATTGATTAATAATTAAAAAATAACATAATGTCTTCATAAAATATGAAAATCATACATTGAATACTTCATTTGTACATTTTCCATCAATTGTCTCTTCTAAATTCCATCGTTCCTCTATTCTTGTTGTTGTTACAACTACAGTCTGTTTACATTCCTATCCTCTTCAGTTTGATCTTCTCAACTTTCTACTGTTAGGGATTCTGCTTCTGATTGGTGTTACATACCATTTATGTCTGTCAACATAAGTAGCATATACCTCAGTATAAGTAATTTTTACATTACCAACTATAGTGATACACGGTAGGTAAATATGTTTTATTTTATTGGATTACCCACATATCCAACATTCTGCTGATCTCCGTCAGCACAGTCTAAGTGATTATCACCTTAAACAAAGGTATAAGATGATGGAATACCTTAAGCAGTTCAGTTATGGTCTCATTGAGGCAAAATATATAAAAAAAAGGATGAATGATAAGTTTGGGTTATTTTTTTATTGATAACAAGTATTGTAGTCTAGGGCTCCAATTTTGTTCTATTTTCAGACTGATCAGTCATATTAACATCCCTCTCAGTTGTTTTGTGCATACTAAGTCTCTGGCATGTTATCCACTAAAATTAAAATTGACTTCTGACCATTGATCATATCGTAGAATTTTACAAAGTAGCTGATACTCCAACAGTAACGAGTTAAACTCGTTCCCGAATATCAGCAATAAGAAAACACAAACATTTGCAAACTTTAACATGGTTTTATTTAGTAAAACTATACAGGTTTCATTTTCATCATGGTGTACTCATCGAAAAATATCTTGACATTATTATTATTAGTTGTTTCAGTGTGTTAGTATTGTCTTAGCAACAATTTGGTACTATTTCGTGCAAAAAGCTTGAGATATTTGTTTAAATGTTCGTGACTTCCTTAGATTTCTTCTCATTTTTTACTATTGCTTTTTCGTTAACCTAGTATTTTTTACTGACTTGCCGAGTATCTTATTCTATTCAATAATTTTCATAACCACCCTCAAACTACCTTTTATATTAAAAGTTGTCAGTCCTGTTTGGAATCCCTTAGTGGTAACATCCTTGACGTGGACATTGGTTGAGCTGGGCTCGAAACTTTGAAAAAACAAAAGTTTCATTAAGACCATAAACAAGTTTATCTGGAGAGTACCAACTTGTGCAAAACATAATTACGAAGCCTCCTGTTGATTACTTCCATCCATCTGAGATTTATACGAATATTTTCTTTTAATGAAAGTGTGCTGTTTTCTTCAGAAGTCGCCTTTTTTCGTCTGCCTATCGGTAACTTTGAATAAATATAGCACTTAAAACTAGTTCTCCTACTGTTTGTGAAACGTTTCTTCCATATTAAGAATGATTTTGTTAGCAAGTATCCATAATTTAGTTTATTCACCATAAATTGTGTTGTATTTTGATGAGATTTTCTAATTTTGCATACTTTTGTTTTGATTGGTGTCGACAGTGAAAGGAAAATTGTTTTTCGAAAGTAATCAACAAAATTATGTGGTAACACCTATCCAACATAAAATTGTTATCTTTTGGCAATCGACCAACGTCTACATCAATTAACTAATATGTAACGACAACTTCATTCATTGTCAAGTTAATAGGGGAAAGATAAATTCACCAAAATGTATCTGATATACTATCAGTTATATTAAATAACTTACCTATATGGGCAGCGTTTTTATTCAAAGTCTCCAGTATATTAAAGTTGTAGTGTCGGTTACTATAGTACGCCCATGTTACTTATTCTAGCTTCTGGACAGGTCAATCTATTCATTCTTCCTGAGTCACGTTTTGACCTTGTTAATTATTCACTTGTCAACCCCGACTGTTTTTATATGAGCGTGTGCGTGTGTACATCTTATCCTACTCATCACATGTCTGTAGTTTATTTTTGTATGATGATAAATATTGATTAACGCTTGATTGAATCTAGCTAGTTCATATGTCTTCTCTACTGCGCGTCCCTTCGTTTCACTCCGCTCTCTCTTCTTCGTTTCATTCGCTGTGATTCTCTGATTGTTCCGATCGACGAGTGTACAAAGCATACATACTCAAACATCTATTCTCGTATTTAATTCCGTTATTCACCAACGCGATTTAAGTTGATAACTATATAAGAGGATTGAAGATATGTATATTATCAATAACAATCATTCGTACGATCTAACGGGAGTCAAATAAGAGGCCACTAAAAAGTATGTAAATATTTTCTTAAATGGTTATCTATTTTTTCTCGCATTCCTGACAATACCTTCAGATCAGTATGATGTTATTAATAACTAACTGCAACAAAATATAACGTCTTCTTACTTTATTGGATTTTGATCTTCTATACTTTATAACAAAGATTCAATTTTTGTTCATTCAACTCCTTACTTTCAACATCAGTGAACTTGATATAGTGATAAAAAGAAGTCTTTGTTTTTATTGCTAATTAAGTAACAATTAATTTAGCATTTTGTTAGGTTTCCAAAAATACATCGCTTATTATAATAATTTTATGTGAAATTCAGTAATAAATGCTTCATATGTTTATATGCTCTCTTGTGTATTACGTTTGTTTTAGGAAGTTCAAGAGATAGTTCAGGAAACTTTGCGTGAAGTAGCACTCTGTCGTGTTTGTATGGACCAACCAATATCACGTGTTTTCTTTCCATGTGGTCATACAATATGCTGCAGCATATGCGCAGATCGTGTAGATCAATGTCCTGTGTGTCGTAAAAGTATTGAAATCAGGCATCCATGCTATTTACCTTGGAATACAGAATCAAATAGTGAAGAGGTTTGTCTTCTTCCTAGCTGTACATTTAAAGATGTAAGTGACCGATTTAAGTCTCATAGACACTCACGTCACCATAAAAACAATACCACATCAGATTCAGCTTTGCATGAAACAGCATCAGCACCTTCCTGTCAATTATCATCCTTTATCCATGAAATTTCAAAAACATCTGATCGTTCAAGTAGCCTTAATCAGTCCACACCAACTAGTGTTCCTAGTTTATCCATAAGCAATCAATCCGATGTCACTTTCTTTTCAAGAGCATCTTCATCAATATCTGATCAAAAGCCTTGTGTAGTTTCTACAATGACTGCTTCAACCTCAGGAAATTCGGTTCCTTTACTAGTTACATCTTCAAACAATCCTAGAAGTCATGAAGTCGAGAAATCTGTTAGTACTACGCGTCGTGTTACATGGCAAACAGAAGATTAGCAATGCTCAGTAGTAGTTATGCATTATATAGTGTGCACAATATTTGTATAAATTATCTTATTTTTCGGTGATATCAAAGAAAACCATTCACAATAACCTGAATTTATTTCTAAATAAACACTCACTTTTATTTCTATTTAGCTTGGCTTTTTTCCTTTCTTTTTAAACTATAGAGTTTGTCGTCAAACGGTGCAATTCATTCTCTTTTTTTTTTTAAAAAAAAACACACACACCTTTTTTTTGTTACTTTCCTCCTTTGTTCTCTACATTGTATCATATATATATTTATATTTATATATATATATATATATATATATATATATATATATATATTTATATTTATATTCTTCAGTCTTTCAAAATGCATGTAGTTTTTTTCACACTCCCCTTATGTATTAAATTCAAACATTTATGTATTTGTATACCAAAGATTTTCAGTGTAATCTGTCTGAAAAAAGAAGGAATTTATTTTTATTTATTTATTTACACTTACTACAACCATAAATCCGTATATATATTGTTCTGATTGTCATATATGTACATATCTATTTACACACGTATATATTTATGATTAACTATAGTAGCTCATGTCCAATTGATCTCAATAATATATCACAGATCTATACATGTATATGTTATATTGTTTATGAATATAATATTGCTTTATTTCTTAATCTCATTGCATCATAACCTGTCATTCATATAAACCTTTTAATCAATGTAATACAGTTTTAATTCATGAAGAGAAAAAAAAAGAACCCTTTTTTTTAATATAATAAATATTGTACAAAAATATGTATTTATTATATACATAACTTTTATTACTGTTGTTATCATTATTATTATTGTTATTATTATTATTATCAACTCATTTGTGACGTTTACTGCCTCACAGAAAAAAACAAACATATTTTGGTCACTCTTTACTGGTATTCAATTCAAAGCATTATCACTAGTTATCCATAAATTTCAAGTTTATATCTTACATCTTATTACTTAATTTTTGTCTCGCTTGATATATGTATAATAAAACCACAATTTTATTTATATAGATTTTAAGAGTAAATGTTTCACTTTAATTGTTTCCGTTTACTGGAGGGCATATAGTCAATTCCTGAAAATCTTTTCTTATAGTTACCTTTAACGTCCCAAATGCCCTGGTACGGTCGAGAGTGGGGAGAGTCCGCTCTCCCTCTCGAAATACTCTCACACGGCCACGCGTATATAGCCTCTGCCAGGGAAATCCTACTCACTGCCTTCTCGTGGCGGGGGTGTTGTTTACGAAAATGAGAGGACGAAAAGCGAATGTCCGGCGCTTTAACCGGATTCCAAACCAATGGTGCACATGGGCTCCAGTTTCCTGCGGGAACAAATGGCGAATGAACCAATTGTTGTTCACCGGCTTCCATGGGACTGCATCTCCTTACGATGCTCCACTGCCTTGTGGATCGGACCTTCAGGTCGAAGGCTCGGGGTGTGGCCCCCTAAGAAAACCACCTGCTTCGGTTTGGGCACCCGGGCAGTATCACAACCCTCACACATATCGAATGAGATTTGTGTGGCGCATATGTATTTGGTGCCTCTTTGTACCATTGTCTATGTGTTGAAATAAATAAATTAATTAATTAAGGTCCTTTAATATAATTTAGGAAACTAGTGTAAATTCAGTAGTTTTATGATAATTCAAAGACTAGTTTTTTTCTTAAGTATGAGTGAGTACATAACTATGAACTTGAATGATTATTGATTCTGCTGTATAACAGCTTAGCATACAACATGAGTTTCCCAAATCTAAACTTACCTGAATAAAACTTTAACCACTAAGTTACAATTTATTTCTTAGCTGAAGTTTTGCAAATAACGTAAGAATAAAATAAAAATTGAAAATTTCCTAACATTTAAGAATATATAGTTTATCTATTTATCGAATAACCCAAATAAAAGACGTCCAATTATTCAGCGTATAAAACTAAAAAGAAGATAACTGTTATATATATAAGCTGATACAAAACAATTACAGAATTATAACATTTAGACTTCATTATTCAAGCCTATAGTTCATCAATTTCGGTACGTCATATTCTTCATCGTGCAACATTCTCTTCTAATGACCGTAGTATCACATCATTATAATCAATTCGTTCTTATTTACCAGTGAAAAGATGTCAAGTAAAGTTTTTTTAATTCTTGGGTTAATCATAACTTGACTTTGAATTACATATATGACATTATTCCTCAACACCTAAATCCCTGCGTCATTTTGAATAGATAATTAACCTATCAGTTATATCATTCACTATTTACTGCTTAATTTCATTGACTCGTTTATAAAAAAGAAATTAACACTTTTCAGTTGTTCTTATACCTGGTATAAGTTGACTTTCAATTTTTTTATAACTAGGATGCCATCACAAACAGTTGTAATTTAATATAAGTTATAGCACATGGATGTAATTTATTATTCAGAAACTTTCATATCTGTCCAAAGCGTACCCTAGAAGTAAGTGAATGGACCAGAACATAAAATTAGAAAAGCTAGCAAACACCTATGTTTAATTTATACTGAAATTATGAATAAAGCACGTAATAATGTATTGATCACTTATCATTTCATCCAAACACTGTTTAATCTTAGATTTCTATGTCAAATAATGAAATGAAATAATAGCTGAATATCTGTTTTCACAATTCCGAAACTATGTTAATTACTTACTCCTGTTACCCCTTGTAGAGTAACATAGGCCGTTCACCAGCATTCTATATCCAAATCTGTCCTGGACAGTTCTTTCCAGTTGTAATCCATCCTGTATATATCTGCTCCCGATTCCCGACGTTATATGTACTTCGGTCTTCCTCTTTTCTGTTTCTCTTCAGGATTCCAGGTAAGTGCTTGCCTCGTGATGCGATTTGGTGATTTCCGTAATACAGGTCCTATCCACTTCCAACGTATTTTCTTAATTTCCTCAGCTGGAACATGGTTTATTCTCTCCCATAGTAGGCTGTTGCTGATGGTATCCGACCGACGGACGTTCAATATCTTACGTAGACAACTGTTTATAATTACCTGTATATTTTTAATGATGGCTATAATAGTTCTCCACTTTTCAGCTCCGTAAAGGAAAACTGTCTTGATGTTCGTATTGAACATCCTGAAGTTGATATTGGTTGACAGTTGTTTAGAGATCCATATGTTCTTCAGTTGTAGGAATGCTATCCTTGCTTTGCCAATCCTTGCATTTACGTCTGCATCAAATCCTCTTTTTACATCAATAATACTGCTGTTCAGGTACGTGAAAGTCTGAACTTCTTCCAGAGTCTCATCATCAAGTGTGATTGGGTTTGTGTTTTCCGTGTTATATTTGTGTATATTGAGGACTACTGCCACAGAGGCTCCTGCGATACTAGTTGTTATCATCTGCATTTGTTCGTAAGTATGGGATAGAAGAGGTAGGTCATATGCGAAGTTCAAAAACTAATCGATTCCGAACTGTCCATTGTATTCTATGCTTTCCCTTAGATGTCCAGGTCTTCATAATCCAGTTGACCACCATAAGAAATAGAAGGGGCGTGAGACAGTAAACAGCTTAGTCTGACTCCAGAGTGACGTCTGTGGGAAAGTCTGTGCATGCTGCTCTCATGTCCGGTGGATTCAATGGAACTGGCCTATTTAAGAGTTTTTTGAATATTCCACCCATCTTTTCCTCTGTTCTTGGATCTCGGTGATTGTCTTGCCTTCTTTGTCCCTGACAGGTCTCTCTGATTTATTATATTTCCATGCTAGTTTGTTCGTTGTCTGACATAGCTGTTTCATATTTCCTTCTTTTGAAGCTTTTTCCGCTGTCGTTGCTAAGTGTTCAACATATTTCTGTTTGTCCGCTCTAATGTTCCTCTTTACTTGCTTGTCTTCTTTGGTGTATTCGGCCTGTGCCTTGACTTTCTTTTCTCTTGTTAGGGTGTTGTTTTTGCTGTCTTTTTGTTCTTCCCTTCTTGAATCTTGTCTAGCCTTTTCATAGAGACTCATTCCTTATGATGATACTTCTTACGGCCCAGCCCCACCTGACACCTTGAAGTTAATTCCTCCTTAGTGGCCTCTTATTTGACTCCAGTTAGATCGGATGAATGACCGTGATTGAATTATACACGAAGACTATTCTCGCATAGAATCATCGACTTAACTCACGTTAGTGAATAACGGAATTAAATAATTCATATATGACAATGGATGTTTGAATACATGTATTTAGTGCACTCAATGGTCTGGGCAGGCAATCAAAGCGAAGGAACGTGGGAAAAGAAGAAAAGAAAGTGAAGCGAAACGACGCTCAGTGGAGAAGACATATGAACCAGCTCGATTCAATCAAGCGTTAATCAATATTTATCGTCATACAAAAATAAACTACAGACATGTGATGAGTAGGATAAGATGTACACACGCACACGCTCATATAAAAACAGTCGGGGTTGACAAGTGGATAATTAACAAGGTCAAAACGTGACTCAGGAAAAATGAGTAGATTGGCCTGTCCAGAAGCTAGAATAAGTAACATGGGCTTAACGTGGTAACCGACACAACACTTCATTGATCCCTTTCCAGTTGTCCCCAATCGTAGTTTCTGTTTTCAGTAGATTCTGTTAGTCTTCGAACCTGTTGTCGAGAGTTGCCTAGAATTCGTTGAGTTTATTAGTATCTCATAAGAAGGCTGTATTGAACGTTTACAATGCTGTTTCCACAATTATCTAGTATTTCTTCAGCTTCAGTTTCATATTAGCTACTACCAGGTGGTGATCTGAAGCTATGTCAGTACCTCTCCTGGTTCTCACGTCATCCAATGTCCTTGTGAATGTTTTACTAATGCAAATATGATCTATTTAGTTGTGTGTATTGTGATCCGGTGAGACCAATGTAGCCTTGTGTATGTGACTGTGTGAGAATATTGTGCCACCACATTATTGAATGCACATAAATTTACAAATCCATCTTTATCCTCGTTCCTTTTCCCAGTCATTTCATGTTTTCCTATGATTTTTTCATACACGGTGTAGTCCACTCTGACTTAGGCGTGTATGTATACCATAAGGATGTTCAGGTCATTTCTTGTGCATTACTCTATGATCGACTGTAGCCTGTCATATAACTGATCTTCAATGTCGTCTTTATTATTGGTGGGTTCATAACGTTGGATAACATTCATCGTGATTCTTTTCTTCTTTGTTTTGAAAAATGGTTTGATGATCCTGGATTCATGAGATCCCCACCCAATAAGTGCATCACAT